ATTAGTGAAGGTTTCATTTCTCTCCGGTTTACGGTTTCGGAGGAGTAGCGATAACAAGCTTTTTTGCAAAAGGGGTAATAACTCCGAAAGGGGTCATAGTTCATATACGCAGGGTCAACTGCGAAAATCTTTCACGGAGTACATTCTTATGAACTTAAAATCTTTTCGATAAATCTTGAAACTCAAAATCACACGGCGGAAAAATAATAAAAAATAAAAAAAAAAACAGAAGAAAATCAATAGGTCTTTCCACAGAAAGGTGGAAAGACCTAATAAAAAAGAATAATAATAAACAGAAGAATATCAATAGGTCTTTCCACAGAAAGGTGGAAAGACCTAATTACAAAATTATTACTGTAACAGTGCATTTCCATACAAGCAAGGAATCAGTATTAATGACACAGTATCAAAAAGCTTTCTATTATGACATTTCACATTGTTATTTCTGCTAAGAATCTGTAAAGAATGAATTTTGACTCAATTAAAGATTATTATATCCATTATAACCTGGCCTGCATCTAAACACCAAACGCTTCAAAGCAATGCATACAAATACAGTCAAAACTCAATGTCTCAAACTCAATGGGACCAAGAAAAAACTTTGAGATATTCAATGATTTGAGATATCCAGGGTAAAATACTTAAAGAATAAGTGGTTTGGGCTACCAAATCACTTTGACATATCCATGGTATTCGAGATATCAATGTTTGAGATACGGAAGTTTGACTGTATTATTCTTCCTATATATAGTAACATCTACAGAAAATGAATTCAAAGACCCATATAAATCAACATTTCTCTGTTTACTTCTGCAGATAAAAATAAAAGTACAGATATACCTGTCCATATTTAAACTTTTGACAGTTTCAAGAACTGCTGACATTTCTACAATCATGGCTTTTGTATAAGGTCAAGAAGAACAATTTAATGTCATTGACTATGTAGTAAATGTTCTAGAGTTATCAAATCATGAGTGTTTCAAAGTAGAACTTTGTTGTCTTAATCATGCTTATTGAACCCCCAGTCTTGCTGATGTGTGACAATTTAACTGATCATTAACCATATGCAGTCCAAATCAAAAAATGTGTTACGTCACAATGATATGTGACAAGGTGGCTCTATTAAAAAAAAATCTCAAAAGATATTTATCACAATTTTAGTCATTCATACACCATTTAATACTTTTCTGCTTCATTTGGATGGTTGTTGGACTTTAAAACTTCATTAATTTAATTTTCATTTATTTTTATTTAAAAAAAAAACGCATTAAGATATTATGCAGAATTAAACTGGTTGATCTTATAGTAAATAGCCAACAAACCACTGAACCATAAAATTGAAAATCAATTTGATTATCCCTATCATTTTAATCTGATATTACAATGTATATCTGATGACACATGTATAGAACAACATTTAAATTCATTATGCCCCACTTTGTAAGTGTGTGTAATTTTACAGATAATCCCTCCTAATCAAGAACGGTCTGAGATAAAAAGCCCCAAGTGAATAAATAATTCACAAAGCATGTTACAAAAACATTGACTGTGTATGGTTTTTGTGTCTCCCATTGTGTTAATTACAGGAAAGCATAGCCTGTCTATGATACAACTGTTAGGTATGCCTACTTAAAAGAATGATGATACCAGTTCACTAAAATTCAAATAAAATACATACAAACAAGCACATACAACATACTTATGAACTGCAGATGTCACCAACAAACTAATAACCCAAAATGTCAGTCATTGGTGGGTATGACATACAACAGGGTATTCTTACTTCTCCTAGGCACCTAATTCCACCTCCGGAATTTACGAGGGTCTCTATTTTATGCCATGTTCACATATTGCAAGTTGATCAATATTTGTTAGCTTCACCTATTTTTATCATATTTCATAAAAATCTTTAGATACAGTAATATATCAATTTACTAAAAGTTATAAAAATCTTAAAAATATAGACAATCAACAGAATACATCAATTTACTGAGGTCAACAAACCACATGAATGTAAAAAAAAATGGAGTACTGCAGATAAATGACTTACAACACTAATGTTCTCGTGCTAAGAAAATTCTGATATGTTGAGCTTACTAAATCAATAGACCAATGAAATAAGCATCTCCAAATAAGTCTGAAATACAGGATTATATTCATGGCGATAAAAATTTATGTCTACTCCAAGGGTTTTCTTTAGCATCAATCAACATGAATATGACCACATACTGCTTCGGATCACATGTTGAACTGCACTCCTACATGCACCAGAGTAATAAGTCTCAGAGAGTCTAACAACCTGCCAGCCTATAGACGCCTCACTTAATAAATTAGATAGATTGTCTGGCAAATCAATGCTATATATATTAGGTCCACACTAAATTGAAAGCATTGCTGAATAGTACAGACATTCCTTTAACCAAAATATTTATCAAATTTGAGCAATTTAAAAAAGAAAGATAACTCATACAGAAAGTCACAATCCCTTTGGCTCCAGATGGTCCCAGTCAAAACAGATTCAGTATTGATAAAACACATTTTGTTAGTTTTGTGAATCACCGAGTTTATTTACCTGGGACAGGGTGATATAAATCTTTTTTGACAAATAGTTCTCTGGGGATAAATTGCCAAGTGGCACATACAGGTGAAAAAATGATATTAAAACAAGATACACTAGATAGACCATTCATAAAATATGAATGTAAAGATTAAGGTGAAGGCTTGTCCTATACTCTGAAATAATTATTTTATAAAGGTTAATTAAATCTCACACATCCAAAAACATTTGAAGGTTTTGGGAGGAAACTTACTGCAGAATGGAACCTATAGACTAAAAGATTATGATATTCATGGAACCTTTTATTAAATGTTAATAATTAGGTCCATGTATCAGAAAACCTAATGAAAATGGGGAAGATAAAAAATATATTTATATTTTAAAAACATGCATATATAATCAATGACATGCATGTAGCCCTGCAGTACTTACAGCTTTAAGATAAAACATGCTGAATTTTAATGAACAGATGATAGTCAGCTGATGAAACATTGACAAATGCAGAAATAATCAATTAGAAACTCATGAATTATTTAACCATTTAAGATACTGTCGAAGCCTGCAGAAAATTATTTGGCATTATAATAAGACACAGACACATAAAATTTCTTGCACAGAAGGCAACCCCAGGAAAACAATGATAAAGAGCTTGAGAGGATAGTGACAAAGATAATACAGATAACACAGCTGTAGAAGAATGGAGCCAGGGCAATAAACGGACCAAGTCATTAACATGTCCAACATTAAATCATTTCTTTCTGTTGAACTGCTGTAAATGTTAAAAGAAATGACATTTATGTAAATGAAAGAAAAACAATCCAGATGGTGTACTAGAGCTGTGACCTTGAGATTCTGACAGAGATGCATTGATTGGGCAGTGATTGTGGGTAACATTGATACAAAGCCATATCTGCCAACAGAGATCCTCAAATTCCTGTCAGAAAACCAAGTGAAAATCACCTTTGTGACTTGTATTGGTCAGTTATAGCACTGGTCAGTTTATGGTGTTGCTTCTTGCTAGCTAAATGGAATGTGTAGGTAAAAGGAATGTTTATGTTAAAAGTGCATGTATATGTAAATCAATAACGCTTTACTTTTAATCAATTAATCATATCAAGGGGACAGTCAGGGTTTTCAAAAGGGTTTTTAACAGACTGCAGTATACTTTTACAAAAATAGGTGGTGCCTTAAATTGTGCAAGAGATTTTAATAAAATATTCTTTTATTGAATTTACCACCGGAAAAAAATTTTGGTACAGTTATTAATTTCATCCATTTTGGGTCATAAAGGGGGCTCAAAAGTTTTTTCTTCATTTTTCAGGGGAGGGGGGGGGGGGGGGGGGGGCTCTTCAAATGTAATTCAATGTTTAGAACTTAGAGAGAATTTGTTTTTGGTAGAAGAGAAATTAACTGATGAAGAAAACCTAATTTCATTTTCGTTTTGGTTTATGGAGCAATAACCCCCAAAATAATACATAGTATGGCATTTTTTCCTCTCTTCTCCTTTTTTATGAGTCATGAAAAACACACCTGCTTAGGATCTTTAACTCCAATGTCAAACCTCGGAGAACTTTTAATTAGCTTTTGATACTCAACAGAGAGACTTTGTTATGCAAATGATTGTATTTCAGACAAGGATAAAGAAAACAGCTCATTTTGTCTTCTAAGTTTACCACAGGAGGAGGTGATTTATCCAATGATGTCATCTCTCACTAAATAAACTAGACAAGCGATGATAACATCGATGACAAAGGGTCTTTTTAGTGCTTGTGTTTTAATTTTTTGACAAAATATCTTACTGTAAGATTTAATTTATATACAAAGCTTCTTTTTTGGAAGGAAAAATAAAATCAATGAGAGTATAAAAATAAGGTTGTGTTCTTATAAGTATAGTGATGCACCTTCTGAAAATTTTGTTTGTTTAAATTATCAGCAGAGTCTCTGATCGTTTTAATTGAAAGAAAAAATTGGCATATATATATTAAGACTAATTTAACCCTCAACTATGCTCCAAGAGGTTGAGTCTAACATTGTTCAAAGAATATCATACAAATCTCCCATATTAGTGCACAACAAAAAAACATAGTACACCCTGTGTGGTATAACTGTGTAAACCTTTGATATTACAGATTCTGTTAGATAACATTCCTTTTAAAATCTAATTAAACAAAGACTTAGTAACAATATGTACAACAACTGACCCTTTAAATGAAGATAGATGTTAAAAGCTCAACCCCAAGATGTATCTGTCTTGTTAACTCATCTATATTAAAGGACCAAAAATTCCACATACCTGCAGGCTTTTACTTAGGTGACTTTACTTATATACTCCAAGTAAAGGTAAAAACACACCTGTGATTGAGTGCACACATATATATACAACACCTGTGAAACACAATTCATTAAATATGTAACAGGGAAATAAATTTTCTCAAGATTTTACCTTTTACGAGAGGTTCAAGGTAGAAAAAGCTAAAATCCCTCCCACAAAATCACAAATATGTCGCATGCACTATAGCTGATGCATCCCTGCCATGTGTTCTACACACCGTACAAATGTCTTTCAATAAGACATTGATTGTAGCGCCATCTAGGGACAGGAAGCCCGCCAAATGACCTATTGCCCTCCTTTAAATGCCTCCATAAAAGGCTGAATAATTTAATCTTTGATAGGGAGGGGATCTATTTACATGAGTTGGTTCGATAGAAAGAAGGAATTTTATTTATACTACAAGATATGATTGTGAATTAAACTTTCATGGGATATATTAAGATAAACATGGTAAACACAGATTCAAATTATCAAGCTACCAATTTTAGCCAAGACAGATAATGGTAAAGTTGACGAATAATCTATTAGTCGGGGATATTTGGGACTTTTTCTGATAATCTAGCTGAATATTTATAGATGAAATGGAAACAACATCCATCGCAAAAAAAATCTGTCAGCTGTTTTATTCTCATCAGGTTCTCATGGAAACATTGGTTTTGCAAATATAATCAATTAAGGTACCTGACTGTTTTTCAACCCAATAGAATAAATGTAAACCCATTTTTAGCCAGCTAGATTTAATTTTGGCATTATTTATAGTAAGGGAGAGATTAATAAAATTGAATATCGCTATAGATTAATTGTGTTTCAGTTGTAATGGCTTCTTTAGTGAGCTTATGGATTAATCATAAAAAAATATGAGTATACTGTATTTCATGATTATTAATTAAATGCATGCTTGCAGATACTGAACATCTGTATTAAAGAACTTTGCAGGATTTAACAAAGAAAAATTTTACACTCTGAAAGCTGTAAATGCAAATGATTTTTCCCATGGACAATGGCTGCAAAAATTGCTGAAGGCTACTTGCAATGGTCAGTTATCATGATTCATCCTATACTGGAGATTTGTCTAGATCAATACCAAGCATTCTACAAGATTGCTCATAATGGAACCCAATCATTAAGTTCGGTTTGACACTAAAAAAAATTGTCATATTTCATTGCAGAAGTCTGACTAAGCCTTCTGCCAAAAATGTGAGAGTGTCAAAAATTTCATCCTTTATTGCATGCCATTATTTTCAATGAAAATCTTGATCAGGATAACATAACTGGATTAATGCAATGCAAATATCTTGGGTTGTGCACGCTTTTGCATACATTTTAATGAAAACTGTTCAGTGAAATCACTACTAGAGTACAGGAGGCAACAATAAAAATTTGAAGTTGTCAGGTACAAAAGTACTTAACAGTTTGACACAGACCAGTCAAATGTCAAATCATCACCAGGCAATCAATTTTACAGTTAGGAAACCTCTATCTGTAGCCTTTATGATCACAGCATTGTATGAAACGGGGGCGTAAAGTGGGCAAAAAGTACTGATTAAAATCATCCGTAATAAAATAATCATCCCTTATCCATACAATATATCCTAAAGGTACGATAGTATTCTATCAGTACCTATAATGCTACAAACATGGATTGAATTATAACTTAAGGTATAGTAAATATCAATGGTTATGGTCTTGGTGAAATCATTCACCTGTAAAATTTCTACTGATGGTCATCAGGGATGCAGGTGACCAAACAAGTCACAGGTGAACAATTTTACAGGTGAACAATTTCATACCTGCCAGGTCCAGTGGATTAATTGATTAAATCACACATAAATTTAAACCATCCAAGGAAATGGCCAGTACAAATGTAAAATGCTGCATGAAGATCAATTTCACCCGCAATATACATGGATCATTTGTGGTTTGAGAGGCTCGTTAAACCACTTCACCTGTAAAATCTTTATAACTGCAGAAAGTTGACCAAAGGACCCAGTTGACCACAGAAGGGTTTAGATAGTAAGGTGACAGACCTCAGAAATGCGTAAAGCTGTCAGCTTCGCAAGGCTGCAATTATTCACGGGTCCTCTACTGAAAAAAAAAATATCTTACCTGTCAAATTCTTAATGTCTCTGTGGTTACACCCTGTACCTGCTACCTGTAATGAGTAAATACGAGAAATAAACAAGCTATCCAGGTAGATTTTTCCCCCTTAATCATTGTGGATAAACTCACAAAGTGTATCATGTCTCATAGGACAAAAGGAAATGTAAAAAAATTGTTGTACTTCCGAAGTGCATGAATTACTTTTCGTCAGGAAACAGCATAACACATTTTTTTCCTTACTGTGTCTTAATACTTGACACTCAAAAAGTAAAGGTGACATTCATATGTATTTCAAGGACAATATACTTCGCAGTTCACCCATTTTTAAAAAGGTAAAAAAAGTTTATCTGACATATATTTCAAATATATGAAATATATGACAATTTTTTACCAGACAGGCAGACTGGAGCACACATTGTCCCAAATATATTTATAATAATAAAACATTAACAAATATAATTCACAAAGGTGCATTATAAAAAGATGTTTGCTTGACACATACCTGAGAAAAGTGGTATAGCAGTATACCTATAGATATAATGATAAACAGGTAATGCAAATGTCCAACAGATCATGTCTGAGTCACCTTAGGAGATTTGTTGACAGAACACCCCTCAATATATTGAAGAAATGAATCACCTCCGGCTTAAAGAATCTGGTCAAAATCCCTCGCACCGATAAATTCCACCTCCGAGAGAATCTATTCCAGACAAACTTGGAACCAAAGCCCTATAAAATTGTGGACAAAGAGCACAGGATGACCAATATAGCTCCTCTGACAAATATTTGTTGAGAACTTTATCGACCAGTATAAAATGTTCGCACCAATTAAATGCTGGTTGATTAAATACAATGAAAAATGATACAATTTAAACGGCAAAAAATGGCAGTTCTATTTGGAATGTGAAAGTCAATATAGATATTTGTTAATTGTGTTGCCTCAATTAATTTCCCTAGGAGTCATGTATGAATAAGTTTATTGACACAAGATGATTTTCCACACATTGACTAATCAAGGGAGATTATATGCGAGATCATTTGTTTCAATATAAGCCAAGGACATTTATTCGAACGATTTTAGACTTTTCTCACCTTCTTACATATACCTGAATTGAAGGTTATTGAACCTATGAAAATAATTACTGTGAAAATGTATACATACCTATTTTACTCTGACCAAAATTGTTTTAATTAGCCAATAGAGATTTAATTCTAATAAAGATTTTTCAATTCCTTTCTATAGATACATTGTATCTGACCTATATGTACATTGATCCAAGGGTTATTGAACTTTAATATATTACCCTTAATTTTTTATATAAAATATGTATTAAGTGAATAAAGACCTGGTTTCATAAAATTGACATTGTTGACATTATACTACAGTAACTATGTACATGTAACCATCAAGAATTATAGTTATTCTATTAAAATTTTAACTTTGAAATTCAATGCAAGGTATAGGCTAATCAAACTTTCAAAAATCTATATTTATTCAAAAAGTTTCAAATTAAATTTTAAAGTCAATTAAATGGACAGAAATACCCACTGAGAAGCCTTTGTTTTGACAAACATTTGATCAGAGTTAAATTGATAAAACCACTTCAATGGTCACACAAAGTAAGCTCTTCAGCTTGGGAGGTACAATAAGTGGTCATAAGTAGAATAACATTCTCATATTGAAATGGATGTTTGTAAATCAAAAGGAAATTGCTTTTACTCAGCCTTATCTCCCTTTACAAACAATGTCAAGTGTGGATCCCTCCAAATAACTTCTAACACCTCACATTTACAAGTTTCAAACCAGAGCAATGGAATCTCCAAATTTTCTTCTGGCCTGAAGTGAAAAACGCAAGTTAAAGGGTAATATAAATTCTTTTAAACTCTCGTTTTCAGTTTCAAGTTTATATCTTTGACACTGCAAATAAACAATAAATTTTCAAGAGGCACAAACCTTCTGGCACATAAAATGAGATTCAATGAGACAAAATTTACACTTCTGTATAACATCAGAATCTTGCATCCTTTGTTACAAACTATGCTTAATGAGATAACATTATAGAAACAAACCAAACCCAGTTGTTGGGTCCTATCTTGGTCCTACTATAGAATGAGTAATGTAGGTGTCCCATAATCTATTTTACCTATGAACCTCTGATGGACAATTTTTTCCCTCCACCCTGATAAGTTCTATTCTGCTCACATTGTCTTGCTTGACTTAAACAGTGTGTTAAAAGAAAAGATTCCAAAAATCTGAACATTAAATTACAAGCTAAAAACAGATAAAATGTTTCAGGTTGACATCTAATATGATATATATCCAAATAAAATGAAAAATATAGGAGCTAATACTAAACATATATATGGTTATAAATTCCTGTTCTTTTAAGAGCCAATAGCTAGGGGCCCCTGTCGGTACACCTGAATCCAATAAAGCTTACAAGCAAGTCAATTTGCAAATTTTTTCTTTGATGTGCAAATAAGCTACATCTCTATCATACATTCATTAAGCAAGGAAGATACAATATTTTCAAGGTAAACATGTACATAAACCTAAACCTTATTTAAAACTTAACTATACCATACTAATTCATGTCCAATTTGATTAAATATGTCTAGAAATATTTAGCAGCCAAAGAAAATTTAAAATCCTAAAAATTTAGAGACCACAGAGGAAGTGGAACCATTTACACACCAACAATAAAAGATAGTTTGTAACTGTAAAAGCCTTTACACCAACACACGACCCAAACTTTATTTGAAGAATTTTATGCTGCAGGGGAGTCCTAGTTGTGTAATGGTTGTTTGTATAGCCCTGGTCAGTTTTTCTGTTTACCTGACTTTTGGCTTATAATCACATGGTCAAGGCTGACCATTTTACAGTTGGTCAATATTTGCAGGAAGGATCAAGAGGGTCCCCTACTCCCCCATCTACAGCCAGGGTATTGTCTCTCGCAAGTGATTTAAATTATTAAGAATATTTAAATGGACAGGTGTAAATATTCCTGGACTATTCTTACTATATGAATGTACTCTCAGACTGCATGTTTTGCACATTTTTTTAACATAAAAATTTTGAAAAATTTAATCCTAAACCTTTATATACTCAAAAGTGTATTCATATTACTTTATTTATCTGAGAATATTACAGTA